TTAGATTTAGGCATATAGAAACTTTTCATTGCCAACAAAGTTTAGAGATATGATTGAGACTATTGGAAGGAATAAAGTAGAAGTGACTATATTTAAATCTCTTCTCTGTTCAAAACCGAAGGAGAATTACTTTAGATTCCTCATTCAAACTAGTTATGTCACTGCTCCTAATCTAAAAACCAACGTTTCAGTTTGTTAATTGTTGTATAAGTATCTGTAACAAAGGTAAGTTTCTATACTACTCTTAAGTGCCTTTTATAGGTAAATGCAGAAATCAAGGGTGCTGGTCGAATTCTTCTTTTGGTTTCTTAGTTTTTGTGGCTTTTTTTTATTTTGAATTGGTTTTTTTCCTAGGTTGTTTGGGCTTCCTTTCTATGAATCAATTGTTGGTACCGGATGAATGACTTTTAGCTTTTTGTGTTGGGACTTATTGACTTTTTTAGTGCTAACTACTCATTTTTCCATTTTTTTTTTTCTCATCTTCAGAGAAGATGGCACATGGCACAAGTGATGAATAAGTGGAGGCTCTCATTGCCAAAAGCTTGATGAAAGCTTTATATTAGCTCTGAGGTAATTTTACAGATACAGAGATAAACTTGGATGCTAATGGTTGTTGTTCTGTTATTTGTGTTTTGCATAGAGCAATATTAGAAAACACATTTGTGCATGTGTGTGTCTACTACAATGGATAGTGGTCTGAAACAGTGTAACTTGCTGCGTGGTCTCCGCTAATTCCTTGCTATTTAGTGGGTAGATTTTATTGTAGAGGGGACCAATTTCTTTCATCGTCACTGACTTAGGTTGAGATCAGGACCACATAAGATTGACCACTGTTTTTGCATCTTGATTCCCCTGAGTTGTCACTGTCAATATCTGGTTTATTCTGTCAACATCTGGTTTATTCTCTCCTTTCTCTCGTTAGATATATAGTTGATCTTCTTCTTCTATTTTGCCCCTTTTCTCTGGAAGATCTTAAAATATATATTGTTTTTAATGTTAAACAAGACTATACTGCATGGTTGCTTATAGAGCCCTGCAAGGACTTTAAAGGAATCAATCTCCCGTAGAAACAGTTTCCTTGGCTATCTTAAACAGGGAGGCGGGACAAGTTACCAGCCAATAAAAGAGACCACAGACAGGGGATTGGCCTCCATTTCATGATAAGGAAGCTACAAGTAGTCCCTTTCCAGGTGATTTGGTATGTGTTTGTCATCTTGTTTATTTTCATTTGCAATATTCAGTGTATAACGTTAACTTTGAACTTAGTTTTTCTCTTCTTGTCATTGAACTTGAACTTTGTTTTTCTCTTCTTGTCATTGAATTGATAGATTCCAAAATGAATAGCCAAAGAAAATCTCAAGGAAACACGTACAATGTAAGTCCTTTGTACTATTAGATTTATGCATACAAAAATATTGACTTCTCTATTGTAGTTATAACATGCTTGATAGAAAGAGATTACGTGTATCAAACTAATTTTCTTTCTCTGTTCTCTTTTTGGTGTTTCCTAGCATGTGTGGAAAATCTGTTTCTAATATTTGTTTCTCTATATTTTCCCGACTTCTCTTGCCATGGATTTTGTAGAAATTCGGATTAAGTATTTAAAATAGTATCTGGATTGTTAGGGATTTGAAATACATGTAGATCGAAAAATTAGAATTGATGATGTGGAGCCAACAGCCACGGATGATTACAACGATGGTGATCCCATGTTCGAATATCGAAATTGATTTTTAATTAAATTGATGTTCGAATCTCTCCGTCTCTGAGCGAAATTGTTTGATTTCATGATAGTTTAATAAGAATTTTCTTTTTCCTATCAACTTCACTTTTCTTATCACTAATGGTGACAAAACAACCAGGAATCTAGAGTTTTTGCTTCCTATAGCAATCATGACATTTGAGTGAGTAAAGGAAAGGAACAAGTGGGGTTTTGGGGGTGTACTTTTTGGTATGTGTTTGTCATCTTGTTTATTTTCATTTGCAATATTCAGTGTATAACGTTAACTTTGAACTTAGTTTTTCTCTTCTTGTCATTGAACTTGAACTTTGTTTTTCTCTTCTTGTCATTGAATTGATAGATTCCAAAATGAATAGCCAAAGAAAATCTCAAGGAAACACGTACAATGTAAGTCCTTTGTACTATTAGATTTATGCATACAAAAATATTGACTTCTCTATTGTAGTTATAACATGCTTGATAGAAAGAGATTACGTGTATCAAACTAATTTTCTTTCTCTGTTCTCTTTTTGGTGTTTCCTAGCATGTGTGGAAAATCTGTTTCTAATCTTTGTTTCTCTATATTTTCCTTACTTCTCTTGCCATGGGTTTTGTAGAAATTCGGATTAAGTATTTAAAATAGTATCTGGATTTTTAGGGATTTGAAATACATGTAGATCCAAAAATCGTAATTGATGATGTGGAGCCAACATCCGTGGATGATTACAACGATGGTGATCCCATGTTCGAATATCTAAATTGATTTTTAGGTAAATTGATGTTCGAATCTCTCTCCTTCTCTGAGCGAAATTGTTTGATTTCATGATAGTTTAATAAGAATTTTCTTTTTCCTATCAACTTCACTTTTCTTATCACTAATGGTGACAAAACAACCAGGAATCTAGAGTTTTTGCTTCCTATAGCAATCATGACATTTGAGTGAGTAAAGGAAAGGAACAAGCGGGGTTTTGAGGGTGTACTTTTTTCACTAAACACAAGGGAACAATCCTTATTAACTTTATTTTTTTTTTTCATTTTTATATGTGAAAACTCCCATATTGACGTATATAGACGTATAGACTCTAATAGTACTTTTTTGCAGTTGGGTCTGGCGAATGCCTTGGAAGTATGATCTCCTAAGAAAAGCGGCTTCTTAAGATATAATTATGTACTATATATCAGATTTTATTACTTAAATTGAACTATTATTCAAATATATGTGTACGAAGAATTTAGCCTGGTTAATATTTGCTTTCAAATTTTTCATTTTCTATGTATTTTGTAGGTCCAAAATGATGTCTCCATCAACTTCATGATCTCAGGATCTTTATGTCCTTTTCTTCTTCCGGGCAGTTAAATAAATCTTATGTGTTGTTTTTTATATCACGTGATTTATTTTTACTTGCTCTTTAGATAGAATACGACATTATTTGTTCAGATTTCTCTCTACTAAAAAAAAAAGAATCAAATTGTTTGTAAAATTTGAGGTTTCAAATTGCTTATATTTTTATATTTTGTAGGTCCAAAATGATGTCTCCATCAACTTCATGATCTCAGGATCTTTATGTCCTTTTCTTCTTCCGGGTAGTTAAATAAATCTTATGTGTTGTTTTTTATATCACGTGATTTATTCTTACTTGCTCTTTAGATAGAATACGACATTATTTGTTCAGATTTCTCTCTACTAAAAGAAAAAAGAATCAAATTGTTTGTAAAATTTGAGGTTTCAAATTGTTTATAGCTGATGAAGATAAGTTTTCCTTTTGAACTCAAAAGTTTGTAGTTATGATTTACCCCATTTGACATTTCTTTCTATATAAATTCTTTAGAATCCAAAGAGGATTTTAGGTTCTACTTTGAAAAATGAGTTAAATTTCTTAATTATAAGGAAATTGAGTATATTATGGAGAGTTCTCATATTTTCAAATAAATACCTGTTTGGTCAGCTGCTTTATTTATTTTCCAAATTGTAAACTGATATGATGCCTCACATTCTAAAATTTGTGGCTTTTCTTTTCCTTGCGTGTTCAGTCTCAGGATTTTTGTTATTATTATTCCTACTGTTGATTTCTAGGTATTAGTGCGAATGAGGCGACCACGCAAAGACAAGGATGAAGAAGAAATGATAGTTCTGAAAATTTCTAATGATTCTTTGACAATCAACGAGAAAACTTTTACATTCGACTCGGTTGCAGATTGAGGCAACGCACGTAAGGCCTTCACGGAGTTGTGACTTTCTCCATATACTTAAATGAATAGTTTGCTTTAAATGATTGAGTTTCATCACAACTTTTGGTTGCCGCTAGATATGTTCCAGCTTATGGGAGCACCACTTGTTGAAAATTGTATGACAGTGTTCAACATTTCCATTTTTGCATATGGACAGGTATGTTGAATTTGCCTTTGTTTTGTTGTGTGTTGTGATATAGAATATGCGTAACATATATGAAGAGTGATTGTTGTTAAGACGGGATTTGGGAAATACTTGTATGCCCGGCCAAAGCATTGTTGGTTTGAAAGCATTTCTATCAATCAACAAGGTTTAACTCCTCAAGTATCAGTGTCTGTCTCACTATTCCTTTTTTTGAGGTAGATTTTTGGTGTAATTGGCCTATTTTAACTTTATAATTTCTTCCATTAACTCATTAATTAATTTTTACAGATTTACAATGAACAGATTACAGATTTTTTGAGTGTCTCTTTGCTCGTATAAACGAGGTAAATTTATTTTGTCTTTTGTATTGTTCTAATCTAATTTTATATCATATATCTGTTGGAAGCTGTTTGTGGAACTTCTTTCTACGGGAGCAAAACAAGAATGCTGATGGACAACTCAAGTATCAGTGTCTGTCTCACTATTCCTTTTTTTGAGGTAGATTTTTGGTGTAATTGGCCTATTTTAACTTTATAATTTCTTCCATTAACTCATTAATTAATTTTTACAGATTTACAATGAACAGATTACAGATTTATTGGATCCTAATCAAAAAAATATTCAGGTGAGGAGGATTGTTTTGCTTTCCCTTTTTAGAAGTTCTTCTTATAGTACTACTCACTAGGGCTTTTATCAACTTTTTTCTCTATATAAGAGAAGATGCCAAATCAGGGATCTATGTTGAAAATCTCACGGAGGAGTCTTTATGTACAATGTCAGAGGTAAAGCAGCCTTTAATGAAAGTTTGCTCTATAATGCCACCTAGTTAAAATTCATTGTTTAAATTAAGCTGCTGTATTACACTGTCTATTACTTACCACTTCATCTCATTTACTCCTTTATCTCTGTATTAACTCTTTCATCTCCCTATCTTTGACAACTGTTGCTTCCGTCTGGTTGGCTGCATTTGGTTGGCTGATATTTTAGACTTAAAACAGTCTTCATACGGTTTGAGGTAATATTAATAACCTGTATCTACAGTTTTTTAATTTTTGTTATTGACATTGAATGTATTAATTTGCTATGGCAGTATTAATGTTCATTGTTTGCCTTTTTCTGTCTGCTTTTATTTTTCTCTATGTTTGGTCAATGTATAATAGTCATACATTCATTTTTTTGTTTGCTTCTTAGTCATCTCTCTGTGTGTGTATATATACACATCATTTAGTCCTTCATCTCATTTACTCTTTCATTTCTATCTCTTTCACTCCTTTATCCCTGTATCTTTCATTTCTTTTGTTTCTATTGGTTGATTAATATTTTAGACTTAAAATTTTCAATGTAAAAAAGAGAAGTCAATATATGAACATCATATACAAAGCAAATAAAACAAAAAATACAACATAATCAAACGTGAACAACAAAAATCAATAGTACTTTAGCAAAGTTAGAATATCAATATAAAATGTTTAAAAGTTATGTGTAGAAATTGATAATATTCATCTCTCTGTAATTTGTGTGTTTTCTGGTTTGTAATGAAATAAGGTGTTAGCTAACCCCTGTCTAGCTTCATTCCTTCAACAACTTCCAATTCATTGTACAAAGTTCTCCCATCCTGCAACAATTCAATATAGTTTAGATATACAGAAACTTGCTGGAACATAAAAATCAGAACAGACCATTCTATTTTTTAGTTGTACGGAGTAAAAAGAACATGCTTGAACCATTCGATTTTCTCTGTTGTCTTTCTTTTAATCGATGTAATAGTCTTGGGGAAGGTTATATGTTATATAGTTAATTCATTTTCTGTTGCATTCAAGCTATAACTTCTGTGCTCTGCTTTTCCTGTTTTCATTGCTTGATGCAATTAAAAAAAAAAAAAAAAAAAAAAAAAACCAT